GATGGTTTTCCATCATCAGGGCTGCTGCCTTCCTGGCTCTGACGCTGTCACACACACGTACACTCAGCTCTTGCGGTCAGCCTCCTCCCTGCTGGTTGTTAGTGACAATGGCCTGGCACCGTTACTCTGATTCCTCAGAGCCGCACTTGGTGCAATGGCCACAGGGGCATGAGACAGACGCCACGCCGCCATCCTCCCGGGTCCCCCGCCCCCCGCTGCTAGGCAGGCTGTTCTGGTTTCTTCCCTTTCAGGAATGTTGCGTCTGAAGTCTCCTTTCTTGGGGGTGCCAGTGTCCCACACCACGTCAGATGTGCTGTCTTTTCCAAGTTCTTGACTCAGAAGCAAACAACATTCCTAGCCAATCCATACATCTCCCGCACCAGTCCTTTCATCGTTGGAAAAATACCTTTTTTTAAAAAACCATCCATTCTGCTTATTAGTGTGGATTTTTAGTCCAAATTCTAGTTAGCCAGAGCTAGCCGCCACCTCCAAGAGGCCGCCATCTCTTTCGAATGCTAACTCCCCCTGCAGTGTCTGCTGCTAATGAGATTCCTCGGTTGTTAGTTAACTGTGCCCAGGATGTAAATAAAACTATCGTCCTCTTCATGTCTGTGCTAGAGCGTGTAAGAGCGCATCACAGAAGTATGTCGGCAGATCACCCGGGACATCTGAACACCTCACTTTTCTAGGCGGGGGTGGCAGTGCCAACTGGTGCCTGCCGAGGCCTGCAGCCCCCAGACTTCCAGCCCCTAGGCGTCTGCCTGCTCCTCCTCCAAAGATAACTCCTGCTGGGTGTTTGCCTTAGCAGAATTAACAGCTCTGGGAAGTGACTAGCCTCCCTGTAGCTCAGGCCGACTTGTCTCAGCCCTTGTCTCCATCTTACTGCAGTCATAAATCCACTCTCCTCCCGTGTACCAAAGCCCCTGCCTCCCTTACAGCTAATCAGAAGTCTGTTCCCCTGTCCCTTTGCATTCACAGCCCTGTCCTCAGTAAAAGACCCTGCACGTTCGTTCACACGCGGTGAACACGTGGGCACCTCTTGCTTGAATGGCCCTCTGTTGCCTGTAGCAGCATAACTATTAAACTTTCCTTTGTTCTTGAACTTCTCCCGGCCTTTGGTAAACTCTTTTACCACCCGCGACACCGGCCCGCCGTGTGTCCCCCCATATGTGTTACTTCTCCGCCTGCCCAGTCACCTGCCCAGTGAATCCGTGTGCAGGCATTTAGGTGAATTGAGCACACACCTTGGACCAGGTACAGCTGAGGCTGGGGGTTCAACATTGAACGAATCCTGCCGCATGGAATGTATGATTTGGAGTGGAGGCGGGGGAGGGACTGCACGTGTGATGGTTCAATACGGCCCTTCACTAAATTTTAGGACAAGAAGTTGGAGCTAGTGATGTGACTCAAAAGCATTACGTTGGGCGGGAGCACTGAGAAACCGCCCCCTCCCCCGAGCACAGTGCAGTCACCCCAGCGGTGCTGGGAAACCCTCAGCTCCTGCATCACTGGTCATGTGAGTAAACACGGAAAGTCCTCAGGACAATGCCTTGCAAACTGTCGGGCGCCAGGTGAGTGCTACCCATTAATGTCATTGTTTTTATTGTTTCCAAATCAGGAACATTTTAAAACAACAAAGACGTGTCTTTCTAGCTCATTTCCCAGCTGGGAGTTGAAAGGAAAAGGCGAGCGTTGGTGCAGAATATGGTCCCCCAGGGCATCCCTCCGGTGTGTGGCCAGCATCCTCTGTCCTAGTCAGAGCTCAGAACCCTCTATAAGCAAGGACTTTCTTTTTGCTCCCCAGGTGTGGGGCTGACCTCTGGTACTAATGTCCCCTCCTCCCTCAGCTCACCTGATCCCACAGAAAACATGTCCAGAGGTCCAGCTTTAAAATGTTGAGGCCAAAAAGTAAAATCTCTCTGTACCAGGAAACTTAAAAAAAAAAATCCTTAAGAAAGGAGGCTGATATTACTGTTCTTGATAATAATGTAATTACTGAAGACAGAAGGAAACATTTAAAGAACTTTAAAAACCTTTATCTCTAAAAGCTTGCCCACTAATTATTTAGTCCAGGATCTATTACCAAAAAGAGGAGATGACTGGTCAGGGAGTTCTGGATTAGGAGCATGGCTGTGGTGTCAAGTAGACGTGGGTGTGAATCCCATCTGTGTCCCCCGCTAGCTGTGCGGCTGTGGGCGAGTGACTGAACCTCTCTGAGCCTAGATCCACATTTCTAAAATGGGAACTGTAATAACACTACTGGCTTTTGCTAGATGGGTGTGAGCGTAAAACGAGATACTACAGACCAGGTGTGTGACACTCAGCGCCATCCAGCACAGTGGTGACCACTGTCCCTGTACAATATACACGGGGCTCTAGGTGGAGGTAGGAATAGAAGCTGCATCTCCTCCCTCCTCTAGCTCAGCCCCTGCTCCCCAAGCAAAGAAGAAATGCCCCAAGGGGACCCCCTCATATAGGCGGACGGATGGCCCTTCAGGGGAACGGGGACTTCTCCATGGAGAAGACAGTGTCCCTCAAAGGAATATGATGTACCCATTTGTTTATTTATTGAATGTTTCTACGCCTACTGTGTGCTAGCCCAAAGGAAAGAATCACGAATTAGGTACAGATTATTCCAAGAAAGATTTCACAGACTGGGAGGAAATGAGCCCAAGTATTTTGTGAGCCAGTGTGAGGAGAGGCAAGCACAGGATAGAACTCACAGAGCCTAACCCGGCCCAGGTGGTGGGAGAGAGGGGTGGCTGTCAGGAACGGCTTTCTCAAGGAGATACCTGAGCTGAATCCTGAAGAGTGGGTAGGAGCTGGGTTAGCCTGAGAAGAGGGAGGGGTGGGGACAGGATTCCAGGCAGAGGAAACAGCGTCTGGCTGCCAGGGGATTCAGAGCCCCATAGAATGCCAGATGTCAGCCAGAAGGGCACCATGTATTGGGTGCCTTCTGCCTCCATACATTGTCATCAAGCCCTCAGAACAATCTGAGATTAGCTATTATCTCCTCATTATGGAGGAAGACGAGGTTCAGAAAGACAAATAAGTTGCTGAAGGTGGTCTCACAGACACCAGCCAGGGCTCTGGTGTTCACCTTCAGGTCCATGCGACCCCAGGCCCACCATCTTTCCAACAAAGCCTGCGGCCACATGCAGCCTGGACCCCAGCCCCCCAGGAACCCCCACACTACTCTAGCATCCAGAATGCCCTCCTCAGGCTTCCCTGATGATACATAGATTCCTGCCTCTTTTTTAAAATTTAGATGAAAAGTTTTTTTAAAGTTGGATGAAAACTCTCTCCTGATTGTCCCAGATGGTTAACTGTGCCCGGCTCTTTCCTTTCACAGCTCCTTACTGGTAACGCGCACCCTCCATGAACTGGTCAAAATATACCCTGCAGCCTTTTTCCATATTTGTTTCCTCCTCTAAACCAAGGGTCCTTGAAGTCAGGGGTTCTCTTCAAGGGTGGAGGCCAGGCCTTAGGCCTCTTGTTCTTCCCCCAGCGCCTAGCCCAGAGCGTGGCTCTTGCTAGGAGCTAAGTGAGCGTTTGTTGAAATAACACATGAGTGATGTAATGAACGGTAGCTCAAGTGGTACCACAGTCCAATAATCTGTTCATTGTTTCACTGGGGACTGAAATGATTCAGCTGTTGTTTGCTCCAGACAATATTTGAACACAGTCTTTTGGCGAGGTTAATATTAATTCAGGTTTGTCCATTTCACTGCCCCGACGGCAGTATAAATAAGTCGCTGACAGAGGCAAAGGACAGCAGCAGCAGCAGAGGGCAGCGGGCTTCCCTGGAGGGTAAGTCACCTCTCTCCCCCTGGGGACAGTGTGGTTTCACACGTGCAGGCGCTTCGTTTCTGCTATGATTCAGGTAGCATCTGCCTTAAGCAAGATGATGGAAGATAAGTATGTGTGCATATTTTCTGGAATCTTCTCCACTATCCGCCCGCCCCATGGCCCCCTCCCACTCACTGCCCCCCTCAGCCACAGTGCCCTCCATTTCCCAGATGGGGTGAATGGAGGAGGCAGTGAAGGGTGGGGGGCTGGGGGGAACAGTGGCTGGCAGTGGGAGGCAGTGGCCATTGCAGGATGGGTAGAGGAGGCAATGACAAAGTGGGACAGACTTCTCAGGACCGTGAGTCTGGCTGGCAGGAACCAGGACATGACGGTTTCTCTGCCACCTGAAGAATCTGGACTCCCACCCCTTTAAGCTCACGGGGAGCCAGGAAGAGGAAATGATGATTGGCACTTGGGGGAGCTCACGCTGGCTGAAGGATGGCCGGAAGTGTTGGTGGGGGCAAAGACTGAGAGCCAAGAGATGTTGCCATGGCAGCTTGGGCGGCATCACAAGAAATTGTAGACTAGGTGGCTGAAACAATGGAAATTTACTTTCTGACAGCTCTGGAGGCTAGAAGTCCGAGATCAGGGTGCCAACATGGTTGGAGTCTGGTGAGAGTCCTAGTCCTGGCTTGTAGATGAGAAGAGATGAGAAGAATGAGAAGATGGCCATCTTCTCATTGTGTCCTCACCTGACCTCAGCTTTGTGGATGCACACACAGGGACAGAGTTGGGGGGAAGCCAGAAATCTGGTGTCTCTCCTTATGTGGGCACTAGTACATGGCCATACACAGGGGCCTCGTGACCTCATCTAACCCTGATTGCCTCC